TGTATTTTGAGAGGAAATTTACTCTGTAGATTTTTGTTTTTTCTTATTTGAAATGTTAGTAGTGAACACTGTACATGTATCAATGATATTCTTTGGGAGGAAATTTACCCCCTAAAATGTAGCTGTCTATTACACTGTATCAATGTCATTTTTGAGAGGAAATTTACTCTGTAGATTTTTGCCTTCTTCAATTTGTAATCACTGTTTCAGTGATAGTCTTTGGGAGGAAATTTACTCCGTAAAATCAAGCTATGTAAACGATGGTTGCTTTGGCTTTGAAATAATGAATGTACAATGCACCAATATGAATTTAGAGAGGGAATTTACTCTGTAGATTTTTGCTATTTCTAAATTGTAATTGTTGTAGTGAATACTGTATCAGTGATATTCTTTGGGAGGAAATTTACTCCGTGAAATCTTGTTATATCAAAGATAGTCGCTTTTGAATTGCCTACTGTATGTTAACTGTATCAGTGTCATTTTTGAGAGGAAATTTACCTGTAGATTTTTGCCTTTTTCAAATTGTAATGTGGTAGTGAAAACTTTTTCAGTGATATTTTTGGGAGGAAATTTACTCCGTAAAATCTAGCTATGTGAACGATGGTTTGCGTTCATTAAACTTTTGATATTCGCACCAATAAATATCTTGTAAACTGTGTCATTTGTTGAGTTTTGTTAATACCTAAGGGCAAAATGCTTAAAACAGAAAAAAAGATTTTCTGTTTTGATTTTGGAATGCGTTTTATATGTTTTGAATTTCCAATCCAGGGGGCCCCTGGCACCCCGAGGTGGATCTGTGGAGGGCCTCTTAGGAGGTATTGCCTCAAAACTTGATTTGTATTTTTGCTGAATAAAAACTCTGAAACAGTAAAAATAAAAAAAAATAAAAAAAAACCCCAAATTTTCTATTTTAATAAAAATTTGTTGGGAAGCAATACTTTTTGCTGGAAAATGTATACATTGTATTTGAAAAAAAAATGTTAACACTTGAAAATGTCGCTAAAATTCCTCACATTTACGTGCAACACTGAAAGATAAAATTATCTGGTGATCATATTTGATAACAAATTCATTCTGCGTTTACAAGTTTTTCAAATTGAAGATTGGCATCACGTTTGTAACTACGTCATATGTAAATGAAATTAACATCCGTAGAATTAACGCCCTTTAAGTCAGAGATAATATGTAAATATACATTTTAGTATAAAGATGTTATATTTATCTTTTGATGCTATCCTGTAATCACTGATTTTCAAATATATGATTTATAGTGTACATGTATTTGCAGTAACATTTGTGTTGATATACAATATGTGTCACTCATTACTAAATGATACGTTTTTGCAATAAAATTTTTATACTTTTCTTCTTTGGATGAAAAATACGTCAAACCCGTCATACGATAAACCCCCAAAAGTGTTTTTGACTATTGTTGAAATAATTTGAAATGCTTCAGTATTTTTTGCGGACGCCTGGTGCTTTTCACCATTCTTTACTTGTGTGTGTATGATCTTCACTACCATGCAAAACATGTTGAGAGGAAAAATATATCTACGGCATTGTTGTGCTACTTAAAAAGGAATACTGAAAATTATTGCTCATAATATTTCTGCTATTTCAATAATTAATAATTCAAGAGTCCAAGAAAGAAAATACAGTATTAATCTCAAGTATTAATAAATCTTCATGAAGGTATACAACATTCTATTTTATTTAGTCTTCATTAAGATTAATCGACAACACAGCTGAGACACATCTTTACATAAACTATTTAATCCTAACTCCTACTTCAAGTATTACACCGTTTGCTTAACATTTTATCAGCCCATTTCTGTCCATTGCTACATGTAAGAACGTTAATTAAAGTTTTAGCATTTTTCGCCATATGCTGCACACTACACGCACAATTTTAGAGCGCAATACATGTATTCCGAGTTTTACTATTTGAGTGGATTCGTTGAAAACACATCCACCACATGCTCTACATGTCTGTGCAGCCACAAACTGCCCTTCCTTTCGAATTATGTACAGACACAAGTGTTGTATTTAATTAAAAAAGACCGTCCTTGAATGCATTCCAGTCTGTTACTAATTGATACTTAGATGCGAAAATCAACTTCTCTGATAAATCTCAGCATGGTGCAAGATGTTAATAGAAAGGCTTGTTTTAGTTACATTGCCTGAAATAATTGTCTAGAAGAAAAAATACATGTAATTATAGTTTATATGGATATAAAGAACGTACCATATTATGTAAGTAGTACATTGTAAATCAATTTTATGTGATTTCTTTTATTGAATAACTCACTTTCAGTTTGAGATTCAAAAAACGTATCAAAATCCCATCTGAGTTTTAAATCATGTACCGGGTAGGTATTGAATATTCAATCACTATATTGCATGTACACAATAGATAATATACTGCTTTTATAATTAAGTAATTGCGCCATAGAGGCAGCAATTGTAAGCTACGCGGTACCAAATTAATGTGTGCCGCCATGATTTAAATGAACTACAGTGTGTAGAGAAGAGCATGATAAGAACTGCTCTTATCTTAAACTTTACTAATTGCCTTAGAAATGCACGTAACGCAGCATTGCATTAAAATAGCAGAAAGAGAGTCGGGGATTTCCAGTTGCATATTTTTAGAATATATAGAGGAGTTATCTGACTTGCTTATAGTGGCGCTGGATCACAAACGGAAGTAGATTTACGCTGACAGAAAGCACTGTGCGCTGCGCTTAGCGCTTAAAAAGAAGAAGGTCTGGAATTTTCAAAATTAACATTTGTTGGTAATCTTCAATACACGTATATACATATACTAGTATGTAACTTACCGCTCACATGCACTGGAACTTCATTACTTTTTTCATCCCCTACGCAAAATCTGTATTTACAACTATCCTTTGGAGTAATATCAGTAATAATTAGTTTTGGATTGGGTCCATTTGAAGTGGACCATTTACATCTTTCATCTTTCAAATCGATGTCACAACCATCTTTTTGCCACGTGCCTTGGATGAAATTCATTTTAGGTTTTAAAGATATAGCAAGGAATTCTATTTTCCGTTCGCTTGAAAGCATCGTAGGTCCAGATATAAGAAATGAAGGATTTCCTACAAAAAATCAATGTAGAAAACGAAAACAGGGATAACCTCCAATATTAATTACTGAGCATTTATTTATGCATATATAAATTTATGATGCTTTTCATGTATTTATTATAAGATATTTTATTATTTTCTCTTTCTTTACAGGTCAAAATGTAATGTCGCATTTGCTAAATATCAATGCAGAAAAAAATCAAATAAACTATCGATAATTATATTTCTTCCATATTCTAATATGCATAGATAATAAACAAACAAGAAAAGTATCATAGAAGAAAATTAAGTCAATTATGCTTCTGGAGAAATTGATTTGTTCCTTTTCATATCACGAAAACTATTATATATTTTTATGTACCTACCTGTAACTTTAACCGTTAGCCAATTGCTCACACAGTGGTCAACACCGTTAAACACCTCCAAACGATAACGTCCATCGTCGTGAAAATTGAGGTTTTTAATCATCAAGGTACAATAAGAACTATTTTCATATTTTTTGGTTTTCAAGTCCAGGCAGAATTTATTTTCTTCGTTTTCTTTGAACCAACGATATTCTGATACCCTTGGTCGAGACTTCACCTTCGTTTTGAGGCAAACCACTTTCCCATATTCACCTTCTATTGATTCTGATATTATTTCAATTTCTGGAGTATCTGTTTAAAAAAACAAGAGAATCATGTTCACCATTTCTCACATAAGCAACAGACTCGAAAAAAAAAACCGAAATCAGTTCAGTATTGAAAACATTAAATAAATATGGTTCCGACATTTGTTCTTGAGGCCTTGTTCTACCTCCAAAGGCATGACTCATAGCTTTGATGGAAAAACATCTTCGCGTGACGTCATAGTATTCATTCCGTGTTTCCGTCTATTTTTGGTAATTATTTAAAAGCGACTTATATTTCCGGTATGGTGTCTAATGGGGCATGGCCCTCCAAAAACAAGAAGGGGCGGATTTGAAAAAGGGACATTTAAACAAGTAACAGCATTGTCTAAATTAGAAACACTCGTTGGAATTCAGATTCCTGTTCAAGTTCGAATTCAGGGCCGATATTTATTCGCAGAACTTATTATTATTATATAAACAAAACCCTGTGTATAATGTTATCATTAAATCAATAAATTGTGACAATTATCTAACGATGAAGAACCAGAGAGAACGGGACTCTCGGACAAAATTTGTCGCTTTTTGCAGATGGTCTGAAAATGTAAGCTATGTAGCCAGCCATTACATTTGATAAACACTGTAGGTGAGAGGAAATTTGGGCTAGCCAAATTTTAGAAGTGAAGTGCACGTATTCGGAATGTGGCCTGGTTAATGACGTTCCAACTGGAAGTAAACATACAACAGAGAATGGAGGACAGGCTTGGGATGTGAATACCAAGTTAGCTGCAGGTATGATAATTTGTATTTGAATTTTTAAAAAATGGAAAATTAAAATCATAATTGCAATAAATACCCTTAATACTCCATGTGTGAATTTCAAGTCAAGTACACATAGCATACATGATGCAATAAAAAATAAGCAATGTCTGTCCCAAAAATTATGCCAAAACACTTCAACTGCAGGGATGATAAATGAAGGTTTTGGGGAGACACACATTAACAGTATTCTTGCTGCCTTGAACATTCCAAGCATCACCCAAAAAGCACTTAAGAGGAGGGAGAGAGAAGTCGGACACCAACTTAACTTTATGGCAGATGAATCATGCAAGAAGCAGTTAAATAAAGAACTAGAAGTGTAGGTATTGAAAATGTTTGCATGTTTGCATCATTGGATGTATATGATACTGAATAATAAAACATATAATAATTATTTGTATTAAAGGAGTGATGGAAAACTGACCGTTTCTTTTAATGGTGCCTGGCAAAAGCATGGAACTGGTCATGCTTATAACAGCCTAACAGGTACGACTTAGATAGTAACTCTTGTACCATAAATATATTTTTAATTTTGTCCTTTCCTTTGAAATTAAACAGATGTACAATAGTAAGTGTTTTGCAGGACATGCCACATTATTTGGAAAAAAAACAAAGAAATGCATTAAATATGCTGTTAAAGGAAAGAGATGCAGGATATGTGATGCGGCAAAGGACAAAGGAGTTTGTCCACGAAAACATAACTGTTCACGTAATTGGTCCGGTTCTTCAAAAGCCATGGAACCGGCCATGGCTTGTGAAATGGTGCAGAGCATTTATGATGATGGAGGAAAGGTACATATATATTTATGCACTGCATATATATATATATATTTATGCTTGATATTAATCTGACATAAAATATGCAAAAATTGTTTTATATATAGTGATTATTATTGCTATAAAGCCACAGTTGACAATACCATATAATGCATTGTTTGAGCTGCAACCATAGAATATAGAGAAATGTTTCATATATTGCGTACAAGGGCAAGCCAAAAGAAATAGCTGATGGATTGCAGAATATAGTCCCTCACTTATACGGTAAGGAAAAATTATGTGCATTTGTGTGAACAGTGTACAGTATATTTGTATAATGATTTTAAAATTGAAATTTATTTATATATTTATTGAGTTGTGCTTATGCAAGATGACTACCACATAAAATATTGATTTTGACATAAAATTGTTCTAAAATATGTAGGTAGATACGCTTGTAATGGATAATGATTCCACTACTATCACATGGACTTAAAGCCACAGTTGACAATACCATATCCAAGCAGGCTGATAAAAACCACACCAAAAAAGGGTTCACAAATGTTTTGTTTGAGCTGAGCAACAACCACAAGATCCTGAAGAATACAAAAGTTATGCAACCATATAGAGAAATGTTTCATATATTGCGTTAGTCAAAACGATGGGCAAACTACAAAAGAAATAGCTGATGAATTGCAGAATATAGTCCCTCACTTATACGGTAAGGAAAAATTACGTGCATTTGTGTATAGCAGTGTACAGTATATTTGTATAATGATTTTAAAAATGAAACTAATTTATTGACTGTCTCAGTATGACAGAAAAGTGTTTTATTGTTTAGGAGAACATGATGGTTGTGGCTTATGGTGCAAGAATGAAAAAAAGGACTACAAACCAAGAAATTTACCTTTTGGGAAACCATTGAATTGTCCAAATCTTCGACATGCCTTAGAAAATCTATTCCTATAAATATGCTGCAAAGGCAGATGAGCTTGCATCTGGCTTGGTTCAACACAGGTCAACGAAAACTTTAATCACATGGTGTCGTCAAAAGCTCCAAAACGATTGTAAGTCAAATTTTAAATGCTGTTGGCAGATTTTTTGAATATTTTAAAGTATGTAAAGTGGTGCTGCTAATAAGAAATCTGTACACTAGAAATTATGTATAAAAAACATGATCAGGAAATTGCAAATCATAACAGGTTTTATGGAGGCTCAGAAAGTCTAAAGACAAAAAGACTTTAGCTACGCAGCTTTTGTCAGAAAAATGATGGTCATAACTACATTACAGAGGTGATTTAAAGTTGCAGAGTTGAAAAGTGTCATTTGATATTGTTGACAAGTTACAGTTGACTTTACAAAACCGTTTGTTTTTTGTAATTAAACACTGTAAGCCTTTCAATGTTCATCAACCTTTTGTTGAATTTGACAAATGAAAAATCACTTTAAAAATAATAGAAGATTTTCAAATTGAAGTGTTAATGACAATTAGATATGTTAAGAAATCTTGCAGGACAAAATTTTAAGTAAATTTCCTTTTTGTATAACAATCTTAAAAAGGAATGATGACATTTATCTCAGTGTTTTATCTTCTTATCTTAATAAATTTTATTGCATTTCATTTTATTGATTTTTGTTACCTTTCAGTTCCAGTGTTCTTATTGCTTGTCACTTTGATTCTGATTCATAAATTTATTTTCTCAAGTAAAAACTCTGTTTTTATGTATCTTTACCAATAAAACTAAATTTTAACATGATGTAAAATTGTTAGAGTATCTATCATTTTTTTGGTGAAACTTATTTTGCTTTCATTTTATATTTAGTTGAACAAGAAATGCTCTGTATCCCCTGGACAATTTACGCTGAAGCATGCTCAAAAGATGGAGAAAAGATTGAAAAATCAGCGCCTTCGTCAGAGTTTATTTACTTCCAAAAGGCGACGACTGGAACTCAAGTCTTTGAGGGCAATGAAAAACTCCACACAGTCTGTATTAGAAGGTATATACAATGATGCTAACTTGTAATTAGTACCAGTTTTAATGTAACCTTACACAGTTGTACAAAACTCTTTTGAAAATGAGTAAAACATTAGTTATTCTGTTGCATACAAGTGTCATTGTGTCTGCAGGTGATACATACCAGTCAAAGATTGGCATTGAAGAAGATTTAGATCTTGAGGACATTGATCTCACTCCAGTATCTTTTCCAAAGGATGGTAGTGAAATTATTTTTGACTTGGAAACTACTGGTCTGGGTAAGTTCATTGTATATGCTAATGTACTTGTTACTTATCATTTACTTAGAGTAAGGTACTACTGAAGTAACCATTTCATTTATTAATTGATTTTCCATAACTTAGTATAACGTTTCTGTCTTTCTTTAATGTCTGACTTTACTTTTCTTTCCGCTCGGACATCTGATATTATTCAGATAGCAGCAGCCTCTGGAGACGAGGAATTCAGTATATATATGACCCCAACGACAGAAATTAGTAATGGAGCTTCTGAGGCCACAGGTTTAACTTATGTTGGAGGTGTCCTGAAACACAGAGGCCAGGCTGTGAGTTGTGTTACTCCCCAGGAAGGACTTTCACAGTTTCTAAATTTCATCAAGAAGTTTTCAAAGCCAATTCTGGTGGGACATAACATTCAGAGTTTTGATTTGCCAGTCTTAATAAACCAACTGTCTAGATATAATTTATATACAGATTTCCAGAAAACAGTGTTTGGATTCATTGACACATTAAAGGTAGCAAAGAGAACATGGAAAAGGCCTGAAGTTGAGAACTACAAGCAAGAAACATTGGTCAGAACTTTTCTGGACTTGAAATATGATGCTCATAATGCTTTGGCAGATGTACAATCCCTGCAAAGGTTGTATAAGAAGATGATGGCAAACTGTCTTCTTTCAAGTGATCTATTTACTCTTAATTACTATGCATGTAAGCAATCACTTGACCCTTTAGTGAAAGACAAAGTAATTTCAAGCCAAACAATGAAGAAACTTCTTCAGTGCTCACTCAGTTTGTCCAAACTTAGAAGTATTCATAAACGTGATACCTTTAATGGAATTAGAAATGTGTTTGTGGAGCAATGTGAAGGGTCAAAGGTCCCCAGAATCTCCAAGTCTAAGGCAGTTATTGACAAACTCATTACATATCTGAATACATGATAGGTTTATGTATATGACTAGTATAATAGTATAACATCACATGTTAAAACAGTATATGTCTTGGTGTTAAGGTTTTTCTTTTCACAGGTGAGCAATTTAGGCCATGGGCCTCTATATTTCATTATTTAAGGTGTAGAATTAAATAAGATGATTTACCTTGTCTCTATAATAGAAAACTGAACCACAGAAACTTTTTTAACGACCTACTTCAAAATGTAATGAAATTTTGAGAATTTTTGTGTGGGGGTGGGGGTGTAAAAATGCTTGTACTGAATTTATTAATATGGAAAGGTGTCATTTTTTTCAATTAATTAGATTCTCAAATACAATATTACTTAATTTGTAAACCATTTTTTGGATTGAAACCATCAATTTGAAATTATAAGAGATTCTTTCGAGAAAAATATGTAAAATTAAAGCCAATTTTAACAGGGATAGAAGATGAAAAGTCATGTAAATGGATATATGTTATTTTTAATGATAACAATGATATTTTTTATGTAATTGTAAATGATTTGTCATTCATCGGTGGTTCATACATTCATATATTGTCAAATATATTCATGAAATATTCATAATAAAATTCTACTCTGAGTTTTGAGTGAATTGCATTTGGGTTAAATATACATCAAGTGTTGAACTTCAGAATTAGTATGGAAAAGGGCTACTTTTTGGGATTATTTGGACACTTACATGTGTGACTTGTAAAATATACTGACAAATTTAAGTTTGAACCCATAAATACACAAGTATGGATATACCTTAACATTAATCTGTGATTCTTCCCCTGGGAGACGTGCGGAAGCAATTAATGTCTGCAGTTTTGAGGGAGGGATCTTAAAATTTACTGGGTTAAAATTATAGGTAGAATATTAGTTATTTAGAGGCCTTTGCCCCCCCCCCCCCCCCCCCACCTTGTCTTTTTCGGGTGGGGGTGGGGGGTGGGGGAATGAAATAAATTATATTAAAGAAATTCTTCAATAAAATAAGCTGCCTTTCACTTTTTTTTTTACGTAATTCAATTTCAAAATATTTTTTCTCAGTACAAATAAATTGACATCGGGTAGTTGTGGAAGCACCGCGTCGAAATATAGATAAAAGAGTACCTAATTTCCGGAAGTTTACATCATTTCCTGGTTGAACAAGATGGAGACGAGTACTGAATGGGTAGACGTTACCCGATTGGCTATGTATATATTTTCATTTTAAAGTGAATATTTTCTTTTGATTGTTTTTTTTCTTATTTTCTTCAGTCCAATATTTTTTAAAAATAAATTTTGGTACCAGTGCCTCTGGCATTTTACGTATTTTGTAAATAAAGATATTTGACAGTAACTTTTTAGGGTATTTGTACCACTTCCTGGGGTAGAAGTTTATTTTTTCTTTAACTAAGAAAGCTTAAAACCTAGGATCCACCCCCAGAAGTCTGCTGCCGTAAATTGTCTTGCTGGCGTTTTGGGAATATGGGTGATTTGCATCAATTACACTTTTATTGACTCCATCGCTGTCGAAATCGGACGAGATTTCTTGGCATGGTCAGAAAATCAGTCAGAGAATACATGTAAAAGATTATTGGCCTTGTCATGATTTGGATTTTGCTTGTTTAAAGAACTTATTATTTTTTGATTTTTATTATTTTTTCATAAGAAATATTTGAGAGTGTAACTTTTATTTCTTTGTTATTTTGTTCTTCGGGTTTCATGCATTTCGCCCGGTCCAGTAAATCAAAATTATTACCGGTATATATAAGTCATTTTGTGTCTAAACATATCATATCAAAAGAATTTGATTCATAGGCAATGAATTTTAAACAAATAGAAGGGGGGTTGAGATCTTTCACGGTCAGAAAAATCCGTCAGAGAATACATGTAAAAGATTATTGGCCTTGTCATGATTTGGATTTTGCTCCTTTAAAGAACTTATTATTTTTTATTTTTTCATAAGAAATATTTGAGAGTGTTACTTTTATTTGTTTGTTATTTTGTTCTTCGGGTTTCATGCATTTCGCCCGGTCCAGTAAATCAAAATTATTACCGGTATATATAAGTCATTTTGTGTCTAAACATATCAAATCAAAAGAATTTGATTCATAGGCAATGAATTTTAAACAAATAGAAGGGGGGTTGAGATCTTTCACCATGCCAAGAAAACCTTAGCATTCTCTCCGTATAGCAAACTCAATAAAACATTAAATTAATCTGTGATTATTGGGAGACGGCGGAAGCAATTTGTCTGCAGTTTTGAGGGAGGGATCTTAAAATTTACTGGGTTAAAATTATAGGTAGAATATTATTATTTTTTACCTTGTTTTTTTATTTTTATATA